CGTTTTCGGTCATCCGGCTCCTGTGATACCATACATTTAGGTGGCAGGCCCCGCAAAACCACTACTCGTCAGGATAAATTAATCATCCGAAAGGTCCAGAAAGATCCCTTCATATCGGCGAGATCCCTGAGAAGTGAATTTTCATTGGACGTTAGCCTTAGAACCATTCAGCGAAGAACTGTCGAAGGCGGCTTCCCAACTTATAGAAGTGCTAAAAACACCTTTTATTTCAATATAGAATCGTAGAGCACGAGTCGAATTTGCAAAGACGCACATTAACTGGACCATTAGCAAGTGGCGAACCGTCCTTTTCTCTGATGAATCCAAGTTCAACATCAAAAATTCTGATGGACTGAAGCTAGTACGCCGACCTAAAGGGCAACGCTTAAATCCACGCTACTCAAAAGGCACAGTAAAGCATGGTGGAGGCAACGTAATGGTGTGGGGCTGTTTTTCCGGCAATGGAGTGGGTCCAATTCATAGAATTAATGGCATAATGGACAGATTTGTGTACAAAGACATTCTCGAAACAATTATGCTGCCCCACGCTGAGGAGGAAATGCCATTAAACTGGATATACCAGCAGGACAATGATCCGAAGCATACCGCTAAATGTGTAAAAGAGTGGTTTGTTGCCAATAAAATGGAAGTGTTGCAGTGGCCTGCACAGTCACCCGATCTCAACCCAATTGAGAATCTATGGGAGATAAGAATTGCTATTACCAAGTGTTTGTAAGTTTTATTTCTGGTTGTGGTGGTATGGGAAGTTTCGTGCTTTAGTTTTGTCGTACACTGTATATGGTTGCCGGGTACACCGGAGAATTGATGGTAATTGAAAGGCTGACGAACTGACAGGAAAAGGTAGGACCACCCAAAACCTTCCAGGAAAGGACGCGGTGGATATACTTAGCAATCCCCACTTTCAAGCAGTTTGTTAAAGATCACACCATTCTAGTAGCCAAGGAACGCTGGAAAAACTTTCACCTTGCGAAACTTTCAGGATTACCTGGTATTTCTATAAAAGAAAACGCCTACGGGCCACTTGCTAATGTGGAATCAGAACCATGTAAGACCGAATCGAAAAAGTTACCAAACNCCCCACTTTCAAGCAGTTTGTTAAAGATCACACCATTCTAGTAGCCAAGGAACGCTGAAACAANTTCCAGGAAAGGACGCGGTGGATATACTTAGCAATCCCCACTTTCAAGCAGTTTGTTAAAGATCACACCATTCTAGTAGCCAAGGAACGCTGGAAAAACTTTCACCTTGCGAAACTTTCAGGATTACCTGGTATTTCTATAAAAGAAAACGCCTACGGGCCACTTGCTAATGTGGAATCAGAACCATGTAAGACCGAATCGAAAAAGTTACCAAACTGAAAAATAAATTACCAAATTACCAATCTTGAAAAATAAAAAAATTACCAATTTTGGTTAAAAATTACCAAAGCGGCAACGCTGGTTATAATCCCTAAATCCTATACCTTAAAGTAAGGAAAGTTTTTCTTTGATCCCGAGATGGATTTTTGGTTCAGTGCGTTTGACAAAGGCATGACTTTTCTCTGCTATGGCGCAGGGAACAGGAGGGAGGCAAGAACGCCGCCCAGCCGACATGACTAGCCAAAGTGCACCCCATTGTGTCAAGCCGCCTGCACTCACTGCTGCTCCCAATATATGCGAACCATAACAATGTACGTAAGAGTATAAAATAATTTAACTCACTCACCTTTTCCGCTCCTTCGATGATGGTACCAACATTCCGGAAAAGAGACTGCGCGGGGAGAAACTTCATACATACATATAGACATGAGTACCTACATATATACAGGCAGTACTACGTATGTAATCAACTGACCGGTATATTACTCACTCACGATCGTAGCAAAAAAAAAAAACGTGGATCGATCGCGAAATGCAAAAAAAAAAAAAAAACAAAGTGAATCGGAGGCTTAATCAAAAAAAAAAAAAAATAATAATTAATTCATACTTCGTTGTATGATCAATTAGAAGTAAGGACCACACCTAAACCGCATGGAAATAATAAAGAAAGGTTATTACTCTAGCGACGCAAAGCCAAACAAGATCCAAAAGAGAAACCGAAGAAGTAATAAAAAAAAAAAAACAGAAAAAACCCGGACCTAAACTGCAGTCGGGTGTATACATCACCAGTTCATCGGAATAAAAATGTATCCCCCTTTTCCCTTTTTATATAAAAAAAACTAAATCTCTTCTAAAATTGCATCACATTAGGGTGCACGGTGAATTCTAGGTGGGCCGAAGTGAGTGAGATCTGTATTATTGCTAAACCGAATGCAAAAGAAAAATCCCTAAACCCAATGCAAAAGAAAAATCCCTAAACCTAATGCAAAAGAAAAATCCCTGATAACTCAAGTGAACAGGAAACTAATCTAGTGGCGTATAAGCTTACAAGAGAGGGAATAGCAAAATACAAAACTAGGTAAGCAAACTTCAGCATTAAAACTACTATGAAAAGAAAATAACTAATTATGTATGTACTTAAAATATAATATTCTTCAAAAAAATTCTCTGAGCAAGAAATGTTAACTCGTAAGTCTCTATTTGACATCCGATCTCAACTAAAAAAGTACTCAACCTAATAATTGAGTGCAACCGTTTGAGCAGATTATGCTATCTATGTTAATGTCTGAGTGTCCCTGCTGCTTTGCTGCTCCACTGCTGGCGGCTCTGGTGACAGGTGCACGATGTTGGCGTCGTTGTTGCTTTGCTTTGGCTCCCACGTAGTCGCTGAATCCCTCGTTTCTCTCGCACTGATTTGGTGCTCAGCTATTGCCGTTCGGTTCCCTCTGTCGTACTACGGCGGCCGTTGAC